TGATATTTTGCCAAGGATAAAGCAAATCAGCTGATACGGTACTTTATCATTGTATTGGAAAATTATCTCAAGTGTAGCTGAATGCAAGATAAATCAGTAATGAATTAATTTTATACATTAGGCGGTGAATTGACTTTTGGTATCCTCCAGTTTTGTAAGACGGACAAAAGAAAAAACTACCGACTCTCCCAGGTTAACATTCATTTACAAAAAAATTAAGACTGATTTGTTATATAATATTGAAAAAAAATTCATTACTCTCCAGCTGATTGGTGGTTTGGCATAATGGACAACGGACGCTCCCACAATTTACAAAAGCTTTGCTATCAAAGTCCTAAGTCCTTAACTATATATATATATATATATATATGCAGAATAATTCTGAGTACCATATTTTATTGTTTAGTTCCTTTTTAACTGCGAAAGAAGGAACTCAACTAGAAATGATTATATGCCATGACTGAAATCATAGACCAATGTTTTGACAGCTAACATCTACAAAATATTGACAGGAAGAACAAATTACTCAAGAATCTTCGAACAATCTGTAGATCAAATATAGTGACTTGATAATAAAAATAGAGAAAATAAAACGCCCCTGACATCCAACCCCGTGCTGGCCGCAGATTCCGCCCCCAAGTTCCACCCCTGCTAGCTATGGATTCCGCCCAAGCTGGCCTCAGGACTCCGTCTCCATCTCTAGCTCCTAGACCCACAACCTATTCTCCTTCTTGCCACCTAGTGGATCAATGGGATCCTTAACGCCACCTCACCAATCCATGATCCATGTGTGCTACCCTGTTGTAAATGAAACATATATGGATTGTCCTGTTGTGAATTATTTTTCAGTCCCTGCTTTTGTATATTTCTTATTATAAAGGTTTCCTAAGATTATATAAATTCTCCACAAATGCTAGAGTTAAACATCAACCAATTCTCCAATTCTTGCCATTGCATCGGAACTTTAGGCTTTTCTTTTCCTTGTTTTCCCATAGATGAAAGCTTCATAGTTGTATTACTGAAATCCAGCAAAATTCATATTGCATTTCCTTCCTTAACTCCTACTTTTTTATAGTCATTGCGTTCATCATTGCAAATTTGTTTCTATCCTTCTTTTATACCGCACCAATAACCACTACAGTTTTCCAATCCATAGTCAACAACACTCATATTCACTTGGTCTTAGATTCTTCTGTAACTATAGCCGACAATTTAAATCCAAAGGGAGACTTGCAAAGAAACCATTCTATCGACTAAATGGAAAAAAAAAAAAATCTAAGTGGCATCAATTGACTCACATATTCTTGAAAGAGAGAGAAAAGCATAAAAAGCAGTGCATCATAATAAGCATGCTAAGGAGTCAAAATATAAACCCATAGGCAATTACTAGTAAAATGTCGTTGCCAACAAAGATCTAAAGATTAAAATAATAGTAACTCCGAAGTATTGTCCATACTCTTCAGGACAGGTTGGAGCCAAAACACTTTGCTTTCAGCGTGCAAGTCGCTTACAAAAGCATGCAAAACTATTCTCAAACATCTCAAAACATAGAATGCAAATGTGATGGAGCAAATCAGGAGGTTGAGGAATGCTCTTAATATTTCAATTTTTTTTTTCAAAAAAATAAAAAAAATGACAAAAGAAAGAAAAAAGAAAAAAATTAAAAATTATTTTGAGTCGCACTTATTTTGAGGTGCATAGAACCTCATTTTCTCATTCAAAAAATGTACATATCTTGCCACAAATTCTCCAAAATTATAAGAGAACGGATGACTGCAGGAAAAACCGAAAGGCTCATTTAAATCTGATCCTCTGCAGGCAAGTAAATGATCAAAGTCAAGGCTCCAAAGCATAATAACTATCATATTAAAAATTGAAGTAAATGAGTAATCACATTATCCTGCCTATAAGGCAGGATCTAAGTCTCAACCATTGTACCTTCCCTAAATCTTTAAGGCATAATCTATTATTAGAATAATACTAATATATATATATAAACTCATTCATTCCTATTATTCTTTTACAAGAAAGCAAGCAAAGTCGATAAGGTCCTCCGGTACAATTGTCTTCAAATAGAAATTAAAGTGAAACCATTGCGATTTCCTGAAGCACCTAGGATATATGATTTATTAATTTTCTTTTAAAAATTTACCAGCATGGCTATAAATACAATCCTCCCTCTTGTATTGGATACAATTATTTTCCACCTTAAGCTCTTCTCTACCTAGAGTTCCGTTTCCTTTTCCAGAAATTCTCATTTTCTAGATCTCATCCCTGCAAAAGGCAGTTGGAGGTACTGGTGAAAGACAACGGAGGAGGTTTCCATATCTTGCCAAGGTGTTAGATGTTGCAGGAGTCTCACGTCAATTGCTGAATCTGAGGAGGCTAGGATGCTGAAGATGACAAAGGGTTGTAGAATATTCATGTCCTTGGTGGCTGGAAGCTGGAAGGGCTTCTGCAGGAATGCCATATCAGTTGGAGGCTAGGGATTATTGCAATTGGCAAGCGGGAGTTCTATCCAAGGAGGAAGAAGAAGAGTTGCTCAAGTAACAGCTCATAACGAGCATAAAGACTGAAGGTGTTTTCCTAAATCAAGATCATGGTAAATCAATTCGTGGTGACTTATTAAATCAATTTGTTGTGACTTAAAGAGGTGCAAAAAATTGAAACAAAATCAAAGCCACCTTATAAAATATTAATATGGGCGCGTGCGCGTGTATATATATATATATATATATATATATAATAGGCCACATAATGCTTAGAGTAGCCATCAATCCATCATTTGCACTAGTTCCTCAGAGATAATAAATTTAAGTCTAATAATGCACATAGGGAGTTAATATCATATTAAGCATATCAGTAAATTCAAACTCAAAAATCTCACCCTCGTAAGAAGGTAACATGTGCCTCTTTAACTAGAAGGTTAGCTTGATTGCAACGGCTTCACCATACTAAAATTACAACATAAACCTAGATTTTCAAATGTATGAGCTTCCGATTCGTAAGCCATTAGGCACACTCAATAGGGTATGAAGTCCACTATTAGCCACGATCATATTAAAATTTGCATCTTCTGCATAAATTTTCTTTAGGTCTACGAGTGGAAAAATACAACCCATAGTTTCTTACAAGAATCATTTGATCAAATCAAGTTGATTACCTTCGCTGACCAAATCAACCAAGGCCCATGACAACCTTAGATAACAAAATAAGAAGACTGTGATAGGATTTATAGTCATTTCCTCACCACCCACTCTGAGCAAATAGTAATATATGCTACTACTAAAGCAAAACACAAAATATTATAAAACTAGACTTAATCAAAAATTCTCTCAACTGATTGAGAGAAAAAAAAAACTATCAATCACAGGAGCTTTACTACTAAGAGTGATCTTGAACAGCATCATAAAGTCATTGCATGCGGATAAATTTTTCGAGTGGTACATTATATGATATTTAATCTATATTCTAAAAAATATATATCAAAAGAATTGGGTCAGGATTTTTAGAGCCTACTAGCATACTTCCACGAGAGACTCTCCAATCAAAAAAACTGAGCCGGTGCTTATTCTTCCCTGAAATTTTTAGTAATGCACAAAGCCCAAACTTTGGTAAGGCAACAAAGTGAAAAGTCTTCTTATACCTAGAAACAAAAAAAGGAACTTAATCTGTTGGGTCTAATTAATCATAGGGGTAAAGTTGATATGCATTGCCATGATAAAGCAAACTAATTTAAATAAAAATAAAAAGCTTGCAAACTAAGGCTTCATTTACGAAGTCTTTTTTGTTGTTTGTATTCTCCAAAACCTAGCATATCATAATTTTACGTTGTGGAAAACATGCCAATGCAAGTACTAAATCACAGCTGTCAATGCAAAATGGCATGGCACACCATGGAGCAAGGGTTCTCTAGAATCATAGCTTATGGAGAAGTGTACTATATTGTAAAAAGAGAGCCAGAAAAAAAAAAGATTTTTTCACATTCTATAAACTTCTTAAGCATTTTAGTATCACAATTATAGTAAAACTTTATGTTGTGATAGTGAACCATTCATGAAAAAACTCTATATCAGACTATTATTTTTTAACAAAATGAGTACATGTTTTATAGTTAATATTCCTCATCTTGATTTCATAGATTTGGACAACAACTTGCATCTTGGAGTAATTTTCACAAACAGCTTCCTAAATCTCCCAAGCAATAATGAGGAACATGTAGCATCTTGTGGCTACAAGTTCCACAACAATGATATAATCATAATCTTCCTCGTCCTGAGTACTGAGTTTAGAATCCATCTGCTATAGGCCCATTCCAGTCTGGTGACTTAGCTTCCAACTCTTTAACAATTTATCCCTTTGATAGTATCTTCTGTCCAATTGATAAAAGGGGTTGAAATTTTGAAGTTCCTTATTTAATGATTTGAATTATGCATGCTTCCATATCAATGAGTATGATTAATCTATCGAAGGATGATATACATTTTGTGATGATCTAGCTAGACTATTTTTCACTAAGTCCCAATTAGTAAAGTTAGGATAGGTGTTTATGGGAAATGAATCCAACTAGATTGTCTACCTCTATTACGCCTCATAGTTGTTGGAAAGGGGGTTAAAATGCCGCGTGACAATAAATTAGTATCCTTTATTTCCATTAAAGCGCTCAAGTAATGCATCGAGAAGTAGGTATAATTCCAAAACCATAAGATCAAAAGTTAGCAATCCAAAAGAGCAATTCATCATAATTAAACAATTGATGACCATCATTACTCGCTCTATTGTGAGAAAAAAAAAAGTTACATCTTAAAATCCAAATTCAGGAAAAATACCCAATTAATAATTTTTCAGCATGTAAACCAACTCAAGATGCCAAATTAGATGGAGTTTTGACAAGACGTTGACATTTCGGAGGGAAAGCAATGTTGTGAATACCTCATTCAAATCACATCTATGAGGTTAACTATAGAGAGATGGAAAACAAGATCCTCGTCTATTTTTACCTTTTCATCTTTCTCAAAGTGCTCCAATTTAGATAACTTTCCAGTATTCACAATCTCCTGAATCTGCAAGGAAGTAAGTAAATAGGCTGGATAATATATATTTCAAGAAATTCAGTCCTCTAAAACATTGACTTTACATGATCTTGCAATGACCTCCCAATAGCAGGAAGATGTTTGACTTGATCAACATTATCAATTTTAAAAGGTATTTTCTCTATCACTGGAATGGCTTTCTGATAACTGAATGACCTGCGATCATCGCCTAATGCTTTGGACCATCAATGCAAAAGAATAAACAAAAAACAAATATGTAAATGGAAGATGTTGGCAGAAAAGTAAAAAATAAATAAACTAAATGAAAAGAGAAAATGATCAAAATGGAAGAGGGAGAAACTATTTTGGTTCCTCTTTAAGGAGTTAAGAAATCATTTTGATCTTTCATAAAGAGTCAAGGCACCATTTTAGTCCTCTAAAATGAAAATGGAACAAATTTTTCGCATGCATACCTCTATAAATGTTAATAAGCTTCCCAAATATCTCAGTAATGTCCTTATTTAGATCAGGTGGACTGTACAGCGGAGATAGCTGAAAAGAAACAGATAGAAATAGTTGATCTATGTTAAATCTAAGAATAAACAAAAGGCATCCATATCGTCAACAAATAAATTATGCACGTAAGAATGGAACAATTCCATAGAAAGTAAAACTCTTATGATGCTGCAAATAAAATCAACAAAAAACTAAATGCTGTTTTACAACAATAACTCCTGTAGCTGAAAACTAAATGCATGCGGTAGCAAAATGTGCTGCTAATAATGATTCCTAACAATATATCCTTTATCTATCATCCCAACTGCTTTTCACCTCAAAAAAATTGGTGATTCTCTATACTTTTGTATGATAATACAGAGGTCCAAAAGATGCGAATAAACTGCCAAAAACATCTAAAAACGGATGACCACATAAGAAGGATCGTCTATACGCCATGCAACTACCTATAAAATTCATTATGAAGATGATCATATATCTAAGGTTTATCTAAATGTCCTCTAATAACCTATGAAAAACATTTCACAAATATAAAACGATCAAGCTCAAAAAAAAAAAAAAAAAAACTCCTCTTCTAACTTCATGGATTTCTGAGGGGCCAATCAAATAGGTGCAATAAATAATTTTATTTGGAAATTTATTGGATGGGGACGCACTTCTTTTGATTCTTCAGGAACATCAGTATGACGATCAAGAGGATTGGAGACATCATCCGAGCAACTTTGAGGGTTGAGTTGTCTTTCATTTGTTACCACTTCACCCCTAAGAAATTCACCCGACTCTTCCTGGGAAGAAATAGCTATCAAGCTATCCTCAACACTGCTAGAATCATCTGTAGCCTTCAAACCATCAGCCAAGATTTTGTTCCTTTTGCTAGGTGATAAATCATTATCACGGAAACTTGGATCAATTGATTTAGGCTGATTCATTTCCAATAACTGAGCTAATTTGGCATGCTCTTTAGATGCTGATATTATAGTATATGAATCATCGGGCAATTTTTCTCCTGACTTCAAGCAATCTTCCAACCACTGATAATTGATCAAACTCTGCAACAGAAATTACCTATCAGAATAATAATAAATTATGAATTTTAAACTTTGAATATAAAATTACACCAATGCTTCTCAAACATATAATTTAAACAACAAGGAATGAATTTTGAGACTTCACTTTATTAGTCGGGCGGGGCATAAGAGTCATAGACCTTGAAGGTCAAATACCTCAAAGAAAATGGCAGTCATCATTTTATACAAGAAATATATAACATCATCATCATCATCATCATCATCATCAGGCCTTTATTCCACTATGTGGGGTCGGCTACATGAATCCTTTTTTCTTCACAGTGTCTGCTTAAGAGTCAAATCCTCAGTTAAATCTAATAAAGAAAGGTCATTTCTAATATTTTTTAACCAAATCTTTTTAGGTCTACCTCTACCTTTGTTAGCATAGGCTAAATCAAATACATCTAATCTCCTAACCGGGTCATCGAAGGCCGCCGTTTTATGTTACCAAACCATCTAAACGACTCTCTCTAATCTTATCTACCACTAAAGCTACTCCAATCTTTTCACGTATATGCTCATTTCGTATCATGTCTCAAAGAGTAAAGCCACTCATCCACCTGAGCATCCTCATCTCTGCAACACTTATTTTAATGGCCAACATTTTGCACCAAAAAGCATTGCAGGTCTAACCACCATCTTATAGAATTTTTCCTTAAGTTTGAGTGGTACTTTTCTATCACACAACAAGCCTGATGCATTCCTCCACTTCATCCACCTAACTTGAATTCTACTAATAATATCCCCATCTATTTCGCCATCACTCTGAACAACAGACCCAAGATATCTAAAACGTGCACTCTTAATAATAACTTGATCGCTCAAAGTCACAAACCCCAAACTAGATCTATTACTACAAAATTACACTCCATGTATTCGGTTTTACATCTACTCAAACAAAAACCTTTAGACTCTAAGCTTGACCTTCATAAATCAAGTTTACCTTCAAACTCCCTCTTTAATCTTATCAACAAGAAGAATATCGTCAGCAAAAAAGCATACACCAAGGTACAACCTCTTACAAATCTCTAGTAAGAACATCCATGACTAAAGCAAAAAGATATGGGTTTAAGGCTGAACCTTGATGTAATCCAACTGAGATTGGAAAATACTTTGGTCAAACCACCTTGTGTTTGAACACAAGTAACAGCTCCAACATACATGTCCCTAATAACTTAAATATAAGCATTTTTAATCCCTTTCTTTTTTAAAACTCTCCATAGCACTTCTCTTGGAACTTTATCATATGATTTCTCTAAATCAATAAATATCATATGAAGATCTTCCTTTTTCTCTCTATACTTCTCCATCAAACATCTCAATAAATGTATGGCTTCCAGAGTAGATCTATCCGGCATGAAACCAAATTGATTTTGAGAATCATTAGTATCACGTCCTAACCTATGCTCCATAACTCTCTCCTATAATTTTAAAGTATGACACATCAACTTAATTCCTCTATAATTTACACAATCTTGTGCATCACCTTTATTCTTAAATATAGGAATAAATACACTCATTCTCCACATATCTAACATCTTTTTAGTCTTCAAAAAAATATTAAAAAGTATAGTAAGCCAATAAATTCTTTCATCTCCTAAGTATTTCCACACCTTTATTGGAATATCATCAGGTCCAACAATTTTCCCATACTTCATTTTCTTTAAAACCTCTCTAACTTCAGTTTTTGTAATATGCAGATAAAAACAAATATCTTTATTTTCATTTATATTTTTAATGTCACTAAAGTCAATTGTATTATCACGATCTTCATTGAAAAGCTTAGCAAAATATCTCATCCACCTTTTTTAATATCCTCTTCTTAAAAAAGTACTTTTTGATCTTCATCCTTAATGCACTTCACTTGAACTAAATCCTTAATACTCCTATCTCTTTGTTTGGTTAGCTTATACAAATATATTTCGCCTTGTTTAGTATTTAATTTATTATATAAATCATTAAAAGCTAAAGTCATTGCATCGAATAATGTTTTCTTAGACTCCTTACAGGCAACTATATCTTTTCAAATTTTTAGATTTTTATATCTAAACCAACTTTTATAATAGAGCTTCTTATTTTTAATCTTTTCTTGCACATTTAAATTTCACCACCAACTATTTTTACTATTATAAGTTTTTCCTTCTGATACTTCAAGCACATCCGTTGCAACATTCTTAATATTACAAACTACTTTTTCCCACATAACATTAACTTCCTCATAAACCGACAAAATCTTAAGATCGTGAATCTTACTCCCAAAGATATTTTTGTTAGAGTTCTTAAAATGTCATCATCTAATTCTTGAACAATGATTTGCTATATTTTTCATACTCTGATCCCTTCATCTTAAAGTCAAAAACTAATAAGCAGTGTTGGGTGTATAGACTTTCATTCGGAATAACTTTACAATCTCTACAATCTAAACGATCTATTTTTCTTACAAGAAAATAATCAATATGAGCTTTACTATATCCATTCTTATAAGTGATGAGATGCTCATCTCTATTCTTAAATAAGATATTACAACAAAAATAACATCAAGCCTTTGTCCCACTACGTGGGATCGGCTACATGAATTCTTTTTCACCATTGTGTCCTGTTAAAAATCAAATTATCATTTAAATCTAATAGAAAAAGATCATTTCTAATATTTTCTAATCAAGCCTTAAATAAGGTATTAGCAATAACAAAATCATAAGCTAGAGCAAAATCTAATAAAGTCTTACTACCTTCATTAGTTGCTCCAAACTCATAGTCACCATAAATACTTTTAAAATCATCTACCTCTCTACCAACATGCACATTTAAATCTCTCACAATAAAAATTCTTTCTTCAAGAGGTATCTTTTGTATTAATTCTTCAAATTCATTTCAAAATTTTAATTTTGAGCACATATCCAAACCTACTTGAGGAGCATAAGTATTTATAAAATTAATAGTCTTATCATCAACAATGATGCAACCAAAAATCCGGGGGGTGGGGGACCCAAGACACCCCAAATCTCTGGTCACAAAAAAGAGAGAACAAATTCTTACATTTCAGATAAGAAGACACTTTTAAACTAGTTTTAAAATAAAGAGTTACAAACTAACTTGATTCAAACAAAACTAAGACTTTTACAATTACAACGACTTACAAACAAGACACCCTAAACTTGCTTTCCAAGAGAAGAAGGATACAGGTGGGGTGGTCACTTGCGGAGAGACGAAAGAGATTAGCAGCCCGAGAAGAAAGGTGGAGAAGAACTCGCAAGTCTCCTCAAAGAGGTGGAAGAAGAAGGCGGACAAAGCTCGCAAGCTCCTCCAAGAAAATCCCAAGGATTTCTTTTCCAAAAATTCATATATATATATAGGTATGAAAGGGGAATACAAACAGCCACTAAATTGAATTCCCACAGAAATCCAAGCACCACAAACCACGAAAAAGCCCCCAGCTTTTCACGGAAAAACAGCCCAGCCAAGGAACCGAAGAAGCAGCCACGGGAACCAAAGAGGCCCGCACAGAACCGAGGCACCAATAGACACGGAAAAGCCCCCAGCTCGAAAAACCAGCAGCCCACCGTGGGAACCAAGGAGCCAAGGCACGGAAACATCCAACCCGTGGAAGCCAAGGCACGGGAAACAACTATCCTAGGGATTCCAAAAGCCATTTTGGAATCCCAAGGGACAAACTTACATTTAAGACATAAAAACTATAAATAAAAATTACATAATTAAGATAACTAATGAGCTAAAACCTAGCTAATAATGAGCTAACCTTTAGTTCAATAAATGAACTAAAAACCAGCTTATAAATGAGCTAAATTCCAGCTTAAATTTTATTGAGCTAGTAAGCTCAAGGGAAGTCAAAAACCAAATATTTTTGGGTTTGATTTGACCTCCCCCCCCTTGCCTACATCAGACTCCCCTTCTTGAGAACTCATCTCCCGATGAGTTAGCTTTTGATTTCTTCTGAGGGGGTGAAGACGGAGCATCCAACTCTTTGATCTTTTCTTCAAACTTTTTCAAAATGTCTTCTTGCTTTTTCTCGAACTGTCTTTGTAGATATGTTTTCCACTTCTCGAATTTCTGATCACATAAGAACATGTGATATTGAAGCTTGTATAAACGGTCTTGAAGTGGATCAGTTGAAGCACCTTATGTATGAATCCATCTGTCCAACGAAAGAGGGACATCAGGATTATCTGAATTGATTTCCTCCTTGAATGAAGCCATCTTTTTGTCTTTTTTCATTTTTTTTATTTAAAAGAAAGACTCAACAAACAAGATTCAAAGAAAGATTCAACCTAAAAAACTTAGACTCACTAGACTTGCAAAACTTACAAGACTCTCTCAACAAGACTTGACTTTGACAAACCAAAACCTAGGACTTCCTAACTTGCTCTGATACCAAAAATGATGCGACCAAAAATCCGGGGGGTGGGGGAGCCAAGACACCCCAAATCTCTGGTCACAAAAAAGAGAGAACAAATTCTTACATTTCAGATAAGAAGACACTTTTAAACTACTTTTAAAATAAAGACTTACAAACTAACTTGATTCAAACAAAACTAAAACTATTACAATTAAAATGACTTAAAACAAGACACCCTAAACTTGTTTTCCAAGAGAAGAAGGATACAGGTGGGGTGGCACTTGCGGAGAGACGTAAAAGATTAAAAGCCCGAGAAGAAAGGTGGAGAAGAACACGCAAGTCTTCTCAAAGAGGTGGAAGAAGAAGGTGGACAAAGCTCGCAAGCTCCTCCAAGAAAATCCCAAGAATTTCTTTTCCAAAAATTCATATATCTCTTTTTAAAACATTACAAAACCCCTCATATATATAGGTATGAAAATGGAATACAAACAGTCACTAAATTGAATTCCCACAGGAATTCAAGCACCACAAACCACGAAAAAGCCCCCAGCTTTTCACGGAAAAAGAACCCAGCCAGAAAACCGAAGAAGCAGCCACGAGAACCAAAGAGGCCCGCACAGAACCGAGG